AGCACAGCTGACATGTTGACAGATCACCACCAGGTGAGGACAAATGAATGGATGAGGATATATTCAATCATTTAAAGTTGTAAACATGTGTGCATACATAAAGAAAATCATGATTTAATGTGTTTCATATCACCACTTGGGCTTAATGCATCATAAAAGACAAGCACTTTAAAGATATTGGGTATATTTTCATAAACTTAACCGTGGAACCCCATGTCTATATGAAAATGTATGTGCATTTGAAAGAATTATGAGCTAGACATTCATTAATGTCAAAAATTACATCTTAAAAATATTTTCAAATCAGAACTTTGATTCACTTTCTTATCATTTATTTGTTTTCACTGAGCCTTTTTATTCATCAATTCATATTCTTATGACTAATCTTTTATTTATTTTATTTTGGAAAGTACATTGAAGTAGAATAAACAAGGAAATCAAGATTTGGTGTAAATAAAACAACTTTTTGATTTACAATATTGAATAATATGAATTTGGACAAAGTAAATCACTTTCCATTAGTGTTTTTATCTTTATTTTCACTCACTTCACTCGCCTCTGTTTCTTTCCTGTAAAAATAAACTGCCTCCGATACTTAACAAATGTAGAACACAATAAACTACAAAAACTCTCTCTTCCGCACTAGTGACTGTCTTGGGAACATGCACCATCATTTGGGAGAGGAGTGCATGTCAAATGTGCAGAGAGGGATTGTGATATTTACTGTTAGCCGCCTCACTCAGGCTCATTATATCCGTTTATCAGATGCAGCAGGAGTCTGGGCTCCTCCAGGGCTCTTCCAGCTCTGTGCACTGCTCAATACAAACAACTCTTAGACAATGTGACACCACCATTTAAGAGCGTGACAAAAGAGGAGCTGCCATGCTCCCTCTGCTGGCAAAGGTCCCAGACAAAAAAAAATACTGAACCAAATGATGCAGCAATAGTAGCTGCTTACCTTTGCATTCTGGTGCATTGGGTGTGAGCGACTCTCTGCTATTGGCCCTGTGCTGCTGTGACACTCAGCCTATAAATAAACTCTGGAGTCCTCCTGGCTATCTAAAGGTCCTTTGCACTTGTATATACACACATGCACCCGGTCTCCACAGGGAAACAAAAGCCCTGCTCGTGTGACTATAATGAAATCTGCTGACAAAGTATCTCAATGGGTCAACAGCCAAGACCCACGACCGAGTAAAGAGAGATAACAGGAGCTCAATTAGGGACGGCAGCCAAATCCTGAGAGGTATTTCAGCTTTTATCAGTGCCCCGAGTGCCCTCTATTTGAGTTTTTTCTACATTTTTGTTCAGTAATTGTTGCAGTGAAATTGTGAGAACAAGGCAATATGGAGTTTGTCATAATGAGATGGAGCCAGACGGTGATCAGAGACACATAAGGTCAGAGCCAGGGGGGCGAGAGGCCAACAGCTGAATTCACATTCTTCACCGCAGTCAGACAGACTGCCACATCCCACCATCTGTACCTCCCTGTTCTGTCAGTGCACACACACACACACACACACAGTAAATTATCTGCAGCAAGTGTCACCTTAAACCCTGTTACAACCTAACACACACACATGCACACAAGTGCAAAAGTAATATAAGAATAGTTCAGCTGCAGTATTTTATAAGAGCTGCACACATTGTCACGACTTATTTATTCATGTCAATTATAAATACAAGGAATAGCGCATCATTTTTGGAAATGTATTGTTTCACCTAAAGGGACCCTTACGTTTCTTAATATTCAATATCCTTTCTATTACATTACATTATTACTCCCTCAGTCCACATGCCTGCACTTTATGTATATTTGTATTTATCTCTATCCTTTATTCCTCATACTATATTTTCTCTGCAAAATAGTAAATTCTTTTTTACCTTATCTTGTCCTTATGTCAAAGAGAGTTGTGGAAAAGCATTTCACTGAGCGTTGTACTATGTATGGTTGGTGAATGTGATAAATAAAATTGGAATTCGATTAGAATTTGAGTATAAGTGATAAATCCTGCCTCCTCCATGTTAGTGGATGGGAAGTGGCTTGAAACTAAAGTCAAAGCTCACATCAAATACATTTTTCTCAAAGATGGTTTCTGCCATTTTGGATAATTGTTTGCCAATAATTAATTGTTTATCAGCAGGAACTTTGGCTTAATTTTTGGATATAAGGAGGAAATGGAGACATGGTATCATCCATCTTTATTTATTGTCTATGATCCTGACATACATGAAACACTTGACATCATAAGTGTCCACTGAAGCCTTTTTTTTCTTTCTTTTTTTTACCAAAGATAGTGTGCAACAAACACATGGGATCTGTGGACAGTTGAGTTTAACATTTTTCAAATCAATACATGAAGTAACACAAATACGTTTCCTTCAATTTGTCTCCATGGTTTTCCACAGTTGGAAGTTTAACTGGCACCTTCCTCTGTGTGTTTAATGGTTTTATGGTTCCCAACTGAGAATTAGCACCACTCGCTGCTTATCTCAATGAACAGAATTGGCATAATGGTGGTGGATGTAAACGCACATTAATTCTTATTTTCTTTTTGGTTCAATTTGTGCTAAATTTGGATGGAAACGCTGCTAATGTCAAACCATTCCTTTTAATTTGTTAATCTAATCCCATTAAACCAAAGAGTAGGTCTCTCTCTACATAATTAGAGACGATACTAGACTCTGATTGACTGACAACATCTGCTCCGGGTAATTGAAATGTTGTGAACCTGCTGAGTTTTCCAGCAGGGACGATGTCTGTCCAAATGAGACAAAGCCTCATGGCTGGAAGGACTTGATTGAATGTTTAATGGCACCATGTCTGCACTGGAGAAAAAGCTGGAGAAAACATGCCATTTGATGAAAGATGAGTTTTATTAGAGGAGGAAAAACTAAATTGTATCCATCAACCGCAAGAGTAAAAAAATATATGTGTCCAAACAGGGACACATGGGGGCAACTGAGGCAAGACTCCACCTGGGTACTCAGGCTCCTCTGAGTTTTTTTTATTATCTTGAAATACAACCACCATCCCCATCTAACACCTCACTCTGCTGTTGAGATGCCTCTATTTTATGCCTGTTTAGCCTTTGTGGCCCACAATAATGTCCACACTTCCACTGGAGCTGAGATTGGAGCCATTGTGGACCCTCATTGTGTCACATCTTTGCTACAGACATCTGGACTCCTCTTCTGTTGCCCAATTTCCAGTCCCATTCAAGAAGGACAAAAGAGGGCAGGCGTCCAACCGTCCAAAAGTCGCCTTCCATCATGTAGGACTCTCACAGCCTGACATGGAGACAATGAAGCGGAGGGTATAGAAGCAACAGCACCTAGGAACCGGTCTGCTCTGTGTTGGAGGAGGGGAGGAATGAGTAAGTGAAACCGAGCTCGTACCCCCCAGGGAGCTATGTGTGTCCACAACTCCCCAAGAGGGAGACTCCGGCTGGGCTCCTGAGGCTCCAGCGGGGCCTCGGATTGTGGAGGAGTGGGAGTGAAACAACAGCTGCTAAATAAATCAGCAGAGAATCAGACAGCGGTTGATAGACAGCAGGACTGCAATGATCTTAAGTGGCGAGGACGCAGGGCGAGTCAAACGCCCTCCACCCTCATCAGCAGCAGCAGCAGCAGAGAGGATGCCGTCAATGAAGATGAAACTGAGGGAGAAAAAATTGTGTTAGTGCTGCTGTGCAGTGAGGTTATTAATAAACAACTGGAATCATCATCATCAGAATTAGAGCATCAAGTTTATTTGTGCTGCACAAAATCCCACGTTTGAGAAATCATTATGACCGTCAATATTAATTCACACTGAGAACATAAGAATCATGCTGCAGACTGTGTGGAGCCGTGTGTGGTGATATGTGAGCAGTGCTGAAGGTTATGTATAAGATATTTTATGCTTGTGTGAGTATCTAGTTTACTTCACTGAAGCTATTTGCTGACAATCCAAGTTGTAAAACTAACCTTAAATCCCCAGGACTAGTTCCAACATTCAACAATAGATCCAAAGCATCATCAAATAAAGGTGTTGTCATTTAAAAAATACAGCACAGACATAACAGTTTAGCAATGATAAAATAAAATAGACAATAGTGGAATCATTGAAGTTCTGTGTCCCAAAAGTAAAAAATAATGAAAGTAAAACTAAAAGTAAATAAATAGCTACTTAAAATGGAAAACAGGATTTCCAATTACTGAATGTTTATGTCTCTACCTTAAGAAATATGTGTGGTGGTTAAATGCTGCAAAGAGTTTGGTTCAAATAAAATATTTTGATTTAAATCACTACACATATATATACGGTGGTAGGAACAGCTCAACACAGTGCAAATTACAGCATTTCATATTATATCATCATCATTACGTATTATAACATTACAAAGCATTGTTGACAAATTGATGAAGTTACTTTCTTAATTTGCACGTGTTTTTTCTACTTGCATGTATTTTCATAATTTGCGCCGAGCTCTCTCTGCCACCTACATATGTAAAAGAAAGAGGAAGTTAAAAAAGAAGTTATGGAAAAGTTATTCCTATAAACTAGAGAACACTTTAGTTCATGCAACTTGCATGTTTTTTCTTCAAGAGGCTAATCTGCATAACATTTTATATTTACTTTAAAATAATGAACTTTGCCAAATTTAAAGTCATCCCTAAACTTTGAAATGAAAATTCCCATTAACCCAAAGGCAAGAACTTGACTCAAACATTGTATTTATATATGGAATGCATATAGACATGAAGACAATGAAGGTAAAGGCAGTTGTAGGAAATGAATTGGAATGAAGATATAAATAAAACCCAGTGAGATGTGAGAAGACCACCGAGCCTCATTTAGCCTCTGTAATAAACCTGTCTAATTTGAACCCTGCAGCAAAGTCAGAGATCAGCATGTCAAATGTGCTGCTTTAAGTTTTCTGGCCCCTCTCGGACGCTCAGGGCGCAGATGTCGTGCGTGTCTCTTTAAAACACTGACTCCTGGAGGCGACCGAGCATTTCCCTGCGGATCGCGGGGACGAGGAGTGTGCAGCTCGGCAGAGGCTCGATCAAACCGACGCTTCAACCTGAGACTGTCCGGAGCCGAGCGGAGGAGAGGGGTCGTTTTATTTAAGAACCGGATGAACATAGTTACACCTTGTTTTTTTATCAAGCACTGAGGAAGAAGTGTGTGTGTGTGAGGAACCATGCGGGGATGGAGAAGTGATGCTGCCGAGTTTTGCTGAAGCTTCCTCCGGGGCGGTGCTGCCGCTCATCCCGCTGCTGGCTCGTCTTTTTCTGGGAGTGACATCAAAGTTTCCTCGGGGTGATTTTATTCTCCAGGTTCGGTTCACGTGCTTTCCAGTCAGATCTCAGCTGTGTTGAATGACTGGAGGTTTTAATATCTAATCCGACACTGAGCGGACACTGCAGACTCTCAGAGGAGCTGACACCAGGACACAGAGGAGATGAACTTTGGACATTTACTACTTGTGACTGTGTCATTCATCCACATCGCTTCAGGTAAAGAAAACATATGTATGACAGCAGAAATGTATTTTAAATCTCAATCTCAATCTATTCCTATCTCTCTTTCTGTGTGTCTCTCCCTCCCTCCCTCTCTCTCTCTCTCTCTCTCTCTCTCTCTCTCACACACACACACACACACACACACACACACATACACACACACTCACAGTCATGTCTCCATGGCTTCATGGAGCACATTACATTGATTTCCAGATTTACTCTAACCTTAACAATATTTACTACTGGCCTAACCCTAAACCTAATCCTAACCCTAAACCTGACCCTTAAACATGTCTTCAATTTAAAATCTAATACCCAACATGAGGGCTTGCTTTTTGTCCCCATAAGGACGACAAGTCCCCATAATGTGACTGTGTAAACATATTTAGGTCCCCACAACAGGCATAATACCTGGACAACACAAACAGGTACACACACACACACACACACAC